TTATATATATATATATATATAATATATATATATACGAGGTCTGTTCAAAAAGTACCCGGAATTACTAATAATTAAATTTCGCGGGTCTGGAGTGTCTGATTGTCAAAATTTTTTTTTATTGTGTTGGTATACATGCCCCTAAAGTATGATGAAATTTTCAGCTATATTCACTGTTTACTTGTCTGTGGTAGTCGCTAAGGTTCGACGTGTTTTTCTGAGCTCGGCGATTTTTACAATGGAAGAATTGAAAAGTCAAAGAATTTGTATTAAATTTTGCGTAAAAAATGAATAAAGTGTTGCAAAGTGCAAAAATTCACCAGATATGGCTCCGTGTGACTTTTTCCTATTCCCAAAGTTGAAGAGACCCATGAAAGGACGGCGGTTTTCCTCGATTGAAGAAATAAAGGCCGAATCGCTGAGAGTGCTCAAGGACATATCAAAAAGTGAATATCAAGGGTGCTTCGAAAATTGGAAAAAACGCTGGCATAAGTGTATTATATCTGGGGGGACTACTTTGAAGGGGACCACTTATGTAGACGAATAAAAAATATTTTTTTGAAAAAACGAAAATTCCGGGTACTTTTTGAACAGACCTCGTATATATATATATATATATATATATATATATATATATATATAGTATGATTCTGAATTTGATGTTGACATATGTATTAACAAAGTCTAATAATCGGGCATAACATCAATAAAAAACATGAGTTTCTTTCAAAAATTTATTTTAAATCCATACGTTTCGGCTATAATCCTAGCCTTCATTCAGTGGAAACTATGATAAATCTAACTGGCCACGCAATACTTCTATCGGACAAAACATTTTGGACAACAACATCAATTTAATTACGAAAATTCTAACAGATAACTTCTATCCCTTAAAACTTATAAATTCCGTAACCAGTAACAGACGAACATACCTTTTGAATAAAATAACAATTCCACAGTACAAAACGATTTACCTGACTCAGAAACTTTTTCTGGTGTGATATGTTTGCCATACATTAAAGAATTGTATGTTCCTTGGAAAAAAATTTTATAAATCTGGACTCCGACTTGTAAACAACTTTAGCACAACGACTAGTACTATTTTTATCAAAACAAAAACCTCTTTTAATATCGAACGACTTAGAAATCTCGTCTATCAAATTAATTGTCTAGATTGTAATTTAATTAACATAGGAGAAACAAGCCAGAACCTAATTAAACGTTTACAACAACATAAAACAATTCAAAATATCCGAGACAATTCAAAACTATGATTGCGGACCATATTTACACTTTAAAGCACAATATGGACTTTTCTAACCCGACTGTACTACAATTCGAACAAAATTTATTCAAACGAAGAATTATAGAAGAATCTTTTTTAACTATTTACAGCAATAAAACAATAAATAAACGGAATGAACTTAACACGCTGTGCGACACAAACCTCTTTTATTTAGATAGTATTTCCAAATTTCTCACAAAACAATAAAAACGACGCGCAAAGGATTCGCAATTCGTTCCACACATGTGTACAATCTTGGTAAAAAATATTTTTTTAAAAAGTCCTTTCTCCATTATATCTTCAACCAGTCTACGAACAACACACTATTCAATTGTGATTTTTTAATTTAGTATTTTGTGAAAATATTATGTAATTACAAGTTTAATGTTTATAATACATAGTGTAGTACATTACCATATCCTGATACCATTGATTATTAAAATGTTCCAATTTAACACTAAGATTAACTAATTGTAATGTAAGTACTGTTTACTATTTTATTTTTTCTTTTCACTCCAATTTAGTTGTTTTAGTTTTTAATTTTATTTTTAGTTTCCACTGAATGAAGGCTAGGATTATAGCCGATACGTATGGATTTAGAATAAATTTTTGAAAGAAATTCACGTTTTTTATTGATGTTATGCCCGATTACTAAACTTTGTAAATATATATATATATATATATATGTATATATATCTTCTATATATATATAAAAATAAGTCGGGTTTTCCTTCCTGACGAAATAACTCCAGAACGCACGAACCGATTTCGACAATTTTGCATTCGTGGGAAAGGTCTCGGGCTCCGCAAGGTTTATAGCTAAGAAAATTAGTTGTGCATGGCATCGTGCCTTAATGCAAGCTGCTGGAACTGCACGCACCGTAATTAAAAATTCGAGTAATAAAAATAATCAATAACTATTTTAAATAATTTCAAATAGATTATCTTCTATATCTTCTATATATATAAAAATAAGTCGGGTTTTCCTTCCTGACGAATTAACTCCAGAACGCACGAACCGATTTCGACAATTTTGCATTCGTTGGAAAGGTCTCGGGCTCCGCAAGGTTTATAGCTTAGAAAATTAGTGGTGCATGGCATCGTGCCCTAATGCAAATTGCTGGAACTTCATGCACCGTAATTATAAATCCGAGTAATTAAAATAATCAATAACTGTTTTAAATAATTTCAAATAGATTATCTTCTATATATATAAAAATAAGTCGGGTTTTCCTTCCTGACGAATAACTCCAGAACGCACGAACCGATTTCGACAATTTTGCATTCTTTGGAAAGGTCTCGGGCTCCGCAAGGTTTATAGCTAAGAAAATTATAGTGCGTGAAATGAAAAATTCGAGTAATAACATTAGTGAGAATTATCAGAATATGCTTGGTTAAGTCAACGAGCAATTCTTGCCGCCAATAAATATGATTGTACACGCACTGAATTTCACAATTCAATCAATTATTGCTGGTGATTTGGTGACATACCTATGATTCTGACTGGTCTTTTTCCGTTTGACTCCAAAACGATTGCAATTTCCAGTTCGCCTTGCGTTCGCAATGACAATTAACAAGTCGCAAGGCCAATTGCTTAGTGTTTTCGGGATAAATTTCAAATAGATTATTTATAAAATCATTGTTTTTTTGCATGAGCAGTTATACGTTGCCTGTTCACGAGTTGGAAAACCATCCGCTTTATTTTCTTTAACGTCAGACCAAAAAACAAAAAATGTGGTTTACCAAAGAGAACTTCAATGAAACGGATAATTTGCGGATTCACTTTCATTTACTTAGAGAAGTTCAACTAAAACCAATTCATTTTTGTAATCGAAATAAATTCATTACTGTTGTAAATAAAATCATTCTTTTTTTCTTTTCAAATATAAACAAACAAAACATTTCTTCATCTTTCTCACGAAACCAACTGCTGGCGAAACGGAGTTCGTCGGGTTTGCTAGTATATATATATATATATATAATATATATTATGTATATATATATATATACAAATATATATATATATATATATAGATATATATATACAAATATATATGTCTATACTATTATATCAAGAGTGAGGTCAACGCATTCGGGTCATTCAATTAGAGTGTAATCGC